TTTTTTTTTTTTTTTTTAAATTCAAGCTTTCAGAAATCTCTAATGAGAGTTAATGCATGCAGACTCCCTGGTGAGCTGCAGTGGTTACTGAGCACTCCAGTGCCCATTTTGCACACAACACACTGTGACCCACAGTCCATTTTTTTTTGCTTGCACTGGGCCATCTCTTTTTCTCCCAGCAGCAGTAGAAGCTGCCTGTGCAAGGAGCAGCTCCTACAGCAGAGTGTGCAGAGAGGCTGTTCAGGGGCAGTAGTGGAAAAGATGACCTTGGTACTGAAGTAGGAGACTATGGTTAATTTGGTCTGGATCCCTATACTTTGAAAGGCAATAAGAAATAGCTGTATAACATGAGTCTTTTTCTTCTTCTGCATGGGTCCTGTCTCACAGCACTGTTAAATTCCCTTAATGGTCTTTGGAGGTTACAGTTTGAGATAACAAAAGATATTAAAGAAGGGTTTTTCTCAGTAGAGAGATAGTGGGGAGAGGTGAACTCCATTGTGCCTGTAAGGCACTTAATGGCATATCTGTAGCCAGTCTGGGTTAAAAATAATCTGGCAGCGTGAAAAACAGTCTTAATTCCTTAGTCTGATTCTCTATCTTGCCAGCATCACTAATTCCATGGGAGTAAGGGAAGTAGCTGACCGTGTGCAATTAGCTGCCTGTAGCTGTGCCTAGCTTTAAACTGGTGCCCTGTAATGCCTGAGTGTCATTTCTCCCCCAAGTTATGGTTGCAGAGAGCTCAGGGGCAGAACACCTGCTCTTAGTGGCTTATTCTGGGATTGCTTTGTACATTATTGTTGGGTTTTGGTGCATTTGTTGTTCTGATAATTTCTTTTTTGCTATAGAAAAAGTAGAATTATTTTAGGAGGATGTAGATGACCATTATAGGTTCCTTCCTTCCAACTGCCTGACCACTTCAGGGCTGACTAAAAGTTACCTGTTAGCTAGAGCGTTGTTCAAAGGCCTCCTAAACAATGACAGTCTTGGGGTATCAGCCAATTTGACCATGCTTTTATCCTGTCAAGCTGTCCTCCTTGTTCCAGAGGTCTCTTGTGCCATAAAATTTCTGATGTGGAAAAATTAAAAGCTGGTTTATTTCCAAATTAGAAAATTCCCAACTGAGTGCTTTGCAGTAAACTAAAGCAAGAGCTTTTGTATTTAGTATTACTTTTACCCTTCTTTCATGTCCTCTCCCATCCCTGTGACAGTTGTCACTCTCTATGCCACCCTGGGTGAAGAGGCAGTGACCTATGGTCTCAACGAGTGTGGAGCATCATATCTGGTCACAAGTGTGGAACTCCTTGAGAGCAAACTTAAGGTAATTTGGTATCATCTTCACCTGCTATAAGCAACCTTACAGTTCAGTCAGTACACTACTAAAAATTTCATTTCTCTTCTGTAGACTGCGCTGCCACAAGTCTCCTGTCTGAAACATGTAATTTATGTGGACACAAAGATGATAAATAAATCAGAATACCCTGAAAACGTGGAGATTCATAGTATGCAGGCAGTAAAAGAGCTGGGAGCCAAACCAGAAAACTGTAAGTGAATCTCTTCACAGCGGACTGACTAATAAAGCAGTGTTAACAGTGAAATCAGACCTGGGTTAAGAGGAATGTGTAGCAGAAAACCCCCCACCCAGCAAAGGGTGGCCTTTGTCACCAACAAAGGCAGTGGCAGGTTGCCAGTTCATCCTCCACCTCCCTTTAAATAAACAAAAAAATTAGTTTTATATTCTTTTGTTCATGTGTTATGTATGTCGGGATAAAACTTGTTTTTTAACTTATAAACCATAACAGAATAATTTAATACTTCATCTTTGTTTTAGGAAATGAAATGGAAACTGTTTTAATGTTTCATTTTCTGCTACTCTTACCTTTTGTTTATCTTACTGTCACTATTTTTTCTAAGAAAAGAGGAGAAAGCACTTTTCTAGTTTTCTGCTTGGAAATGTCCATTGTCTTAACCAAGATGTAGCTAAAAAAGCGCTTAAGGCCAGAGGAATAACGTTTACATTCCTTGCTCCATTGGGCAGCCAGGAATGACTTTAAACATCTGCTTTAAGGAAGGAAAACTCAACCCTGATGACCTGTTCTCCTTACATCAGCAGTCTGTAATTATAACCACATCTCTCTGGAATAAAGGAGGAGATAAACTGGCAAAGGAGCTTTGGGAAACACACGTTCATCACAGCTGCTAATCTCTGATCAGCCTGAGGTGCTGGTACAGACCCTAGTGGGTGTGTTTTCTTGGGGTTATTCTCTAAAAAAACCCACTTCCTTGCAGACACTGTAAAAGCCATGAAAAGCTGATGATTGTCATCCTAAGAATAAAGAGGACTAAAACAAAAATCAGAAGTCAAGTGTTCCCGCTTACTGCTTTTCTACTAAACCTGCAGCTTACCTGAGAAAGGTTTATTAAAAATAAAAAAAAAAAAAAAGGGGGGGGGTTAGTTAAAAGGAATCGTACCTCTACAACCTTGGCTTTGAAAGACTAATGGACAGAAAAGCAGACTTGCAGCTTTTTGGGGTATTGGTTTTTTGTTTTATTTTTTACTCAACTTGCTGTTTATCATCAGTACTGTATTCTCCCCTTTGTTGCCTTTGACAGTTTTATTTGGTCTCCAGAAAGCTCCTTCTATGAAACTTTCAGTCGGCTATAAACCACAATGACAAAACTGTCACCCAGATCGTGTAGATGCTCAAATACTCATCATTCCTTTCAAAATGAGCCTTCCCTCTCTTCCTCTTAAAACCAGATGACTATTCTCTCCAGTACTGACATTGCAACAGCTCACTGTACTGGCCTTCCATGAAGCACCTATTTCACAATTATTACAGACGTTTTCACATTGATCAATTACAGAAATGACTTGGAAAGTAGGTAAGAATAAATAACAGTTTTTCTCCTGAATTTTTCAGCAAGCATTCTGCCAAGCAGACCTGTTCCTACAGACTTGGCTTTAGTAATGTACACCAGTGGCTCTACTGGGAGACCCAAAGGAGTGATGATGATGCATAAAAACTTAATAGCTGGAATGACAGGACAGTGTGAGAGAATACCTGGACTGGGGTAAGAAACACTTCGTTGTCTCATGTACAGAGAGCTAAAACAACTTCCAAAAGTGTCACATTTATAGAGTCTGCTGCTGGCACTGTGTTAACAAGTTTCTTCATATTATTGTGAGGCCACTACTCTTTAATTTATAAGAAATATGTCTTGTGTGTGTGAACTTCTCTTGTTTGAAAAATATGCTCTTCTAGCTGTTTTCTCACATGCTGTTGCTTTTTTTATTATTGTTACCCTTAGCTCTAAGTCTGATGGATTTTTGCACTTCTAAGTATCAGAGAATACCACTAGATAAGAGATGTCTCCTCTGGTGCAACTTGGGAAATGTTTTTAGACATTTTCAGGTACCTAGAATCAGTTTAGGAAGCATGTCAGAGCCTAGCACTTCATTGACCTGGAGATACCACTCTAGGTGCACATGCTGCAGAATCTACTCAAGTACAGTTCACTGAAGGACCAAAAAAGTAATAGATTATGCATTGACAACAGTAAAACCAAGTGCAAGTTCTCTCACATTAGTGTTTTGAGGAAGTTTTTCATGGAAGCATGTGTATTTGTCTCTGCATTCACAAAGGGTTCAATAGCTGAAATAAGCCTTGTTGCCAGACTGCTGTTGTGAGAGGATATAAACCCAGTTCTGGCTGGGTGCTGAAAGCTGCTGTTCAGTGACAGTTCTAAGGTTCTTGCTGAGAAATCTCTGGGCAATTACTTTCTGCAGCCAGCCTCAGTACTTCAGTAATCAGCTGTCTTTCTAGTAATGTATCCTAGAAGAAAACTACTTACAGGGCTTTGTAAATCATTTGTCATTACTTTAAAATAATTATTTCATCCTTAATTTCATAATTGGAATGAAACCTCCCACAAGGAGAGGAAGTAGCAGTAAAGGACTAAGGAATTGGAGTTTCCTAGAAAACAAGGCAAATCTTGTAACTCATACTGATTTCAGTAAGGGCAGATTTCCCCAATTTGTTCATATACTGAAATCACACCTGTCTTGTGTGCAGGAGAATAAGCTCAGATGTGATTCACGTCAATCAAAAATTAATAACTAACCACACAATAAAATGGTTAAATGGTATTTTCAGTTCACTTGTGATTCATGGTTAATTTTTTTTTTCTTTCCCAGACCCAAGGACACTTATATTGGTTATTTGCCTCTGGCCCATGTGTTAGAACTGACAGCAGAAGTTTCTTGCATCACTTACGGCTGCAGGATTGGTTACTCCTCTCCTCTCACTCTGTCAGATCAGGTGAGGGCTAGCAGAGCAAGGTGGGGAGCAAACTGCACCTTTTGCAGCCTGTTCTCTCCTTGCTCAGCTTCCTCTTTCAGTAAAGAAATGCTGACGTATATGGGACACTTCAGAAATGTAATTTTTTTTCAGAAAATGATGCAAATTAACATTCGTGGTGAACAACAGCAGTGGGTTGTACCATATAAATTTTATTAGAACCTTTGCTTTTACGATACTTAGGAAATCTAAAAGCGATCCTAATAAATGCCTATAGCGTTATCCACTGGATAACAGCGTAAGAACAGCTCTTAATAGATCAGCTGAACTGTTTAAAGCGGTTCTAAGTTTTGGTCTCCCTTTATCAGTTCTTTATCCAGGTATTGCAGATCTTTTATTTAGTCCTTTGCCTTTTTCCCTTTAACAATTCAGATAAATAAGAGTAAATTAAGCCAGAATAGATACCTCTGTATGTTTTGCTTGTAGAGAGATTTGCATCAAGCAAAACAAGCTCCCAGAGGAAGATGGAGGAGAAAGGAAGTACTAGAGGGAGGAAGTAAGAGAAAGATAGATAAACAAAGTGAACTTGTAAAAGATTATTTCAGTTGAAATAGATGTTAATCATTACCCTTTCCATAACAGTGTGGGCAAAATGACACAGGAACAGGGGAAGATATTTGAACAAACTGCATGCTAATGTATCTCCTTTTTTTTGGTAGTCCTTTAGTTTTCAAGTGCTGTTTCATTTTCAGCTTCATAAATTGACATTTTTTTCCTTATTACAGTCAAGTAAAATAAAGAAGGGAAGCAAAGGAGACTGTACTGTACTTAAGCCTACACTGATGGCAGCTGTGCCTGTAAGTATGCAGAAGCAGAATGTCCAGTAAAAAAAGTTGTCTTTTTTATGCTAGACAAATATATTTACTAGCGTGTTTTTCTCTTCACATGCAAGTAACTATCACTAATAGGAAAAGAGCAAACACAGACATTCGAGCTGTTGATGGATTGAACTGATGGATGAACTGATTGATGCTGCAGTTGAGCACAAGAGTTTGCCTCTACTAAAGCCAAGATCCTTTTTGATCCAAACCTGTAAATGTTTCAGTAGTTACAAGTGGTGTTTTACTGACACAGCAATAGGATACAGTCACAGTCTGGACCTCCTTTTTCCACAGGGACAAATAGGGTGGTTCTGGCCAAGAGGGAATTCTCTTTAAGGATATGGGCATTTGGCTCAGTCACAGACTTAGCAAGTCAAGGTGACACTGAGGCTGAGTCTCTCTTGCTGTTCTCAGGGTTAGCAGGCCAGGCTTAGCCTTCTCTCAGAGGAAAGAGTGATCAGGAGACTGTAACTCCTCTTGCTTCTGCAGGTTACATTGCTCTGGGAGTGACCAGGCTCCTACAGTCCACAAAGCTGTGGTGCTGTCCAAAAACTCTACAAATGTTTGTGTCTTTTTGGTGCCAAGGCCTTCCCCAAATGTGCTGCTTTTAGGATCCTGTCACATCTGTGGCTCATAAAACTGGTAGCACTGGGTGATGCCACATGGTGGTGGGGAGTGAATAGGAGAATTTAATCTCATTTAGGAATAGTGAGTTTTGGTTGGATCTGGTTGTTCTGCAACATCTTAGAATAGCCAAGAGTTGTAAAATCAATTTAGTCACTTGCATTCTTCTGTTTTATAAAATCATAGGCACATATAGAGGCTTGGTCATCTTCTTAATAATTAACAGAGTGACAATTAGTGTGTCTGAGAACTCCAACCTTTTGGAAAATATCCATTTAAATTTATTTCATGGGGAGAAAGCACATAAACACTTCAAAACATTGGCTCCTTCAAGTTTGTTTTGAAGCACAATCTTTAAACTTCCATTAAATACTTCACCAATCTGAACAGTGTTTCAGGTTCTGTGTATTTGGGTGACCGTAATCTTATTATTTTAATGGAAATTAATCTCTGGTCCGTTACAAAATTGTGGTGGGTTTTTGTCAGATAATTAGAATTACTGCAACCATGTTGCTCTGAAAGTTGAAGAACTCTCTTGGAAAAGGAATGGTTAAATGAATTCTCTTAGTTTATTCCCTTGCACTTAACAATTGCTATGGATAAATTACAGCATCAGCACTCCCAAGCATGAGACATCTTGAGGGGACTATACCAACCTTTAGCAAAGAGACTGTGTTAAACTTGAATTCAAAATTTTCTAAATCAGTTTATTACAGTTTAAGTACAGGTTCAGGTGTAATAGCTCCAAGCTGCAATGGTCTATAAATTGGCTCATTGATCACATGTTAAAAGCATTGCACTCGAGCACTACCTAACCTCATGATGCAAGATTTTCACTTTTATTATCCATTTTAAAGGAAGAATAATGGGGGGGGATTACTTATACTTAATTTACACATGCTGGTCTGTCCCATGTGGTAATCTTCTTTTTTTTTTTAACACTTTGTAGGAAATAATGGACAGAATTTATAAAAATGTCATGAGTAAAGTTCAAGAGATGAACTATATTCAGAGAACACTGTTCAAGATAGGCTATGACTACAAATTGGAACAGATCAAGAGGGGATATGATGCACCTCTGTGTAATATGTAAGTAGCGTTCATGGGCCAAGGGTGCATTTTGCCTTGGGATCTGTTAGGACAGTCTAAAAGAATGATCCTCTGAGCTATCAGACAGTTCTCATATGACATGCAAATAACACCTAATGAGTAACTGAAGTAGTCCAAGTTCTTACTGGAAACAGGTGAGATATTTCATGGTAATGACTAATCTTCCAAACAGCTGCCTGGTTAATTTTCATTGCATTGTTGTTTTTTTTTCTGAGTGCTAAAACTGGAATGTCTATTAAGCTACGGGAACTCTGGCTCCTCAGGTGTTACACAAGAGCTAATGGGTTTGGATTAGTCCTGCTGTATACTAAAATCTGGGAAAAAATTAATTTTTAAGGTGTTCCAAATAGAAAGTAAGGAAGAAGGTTTGTGTCTTCTTATAAGAGTGAGCTAAGTGAATAATTTTTAATGCTTTTTGCCTTCTTTCAAGACTACTGTTTAAAAAAGTAAAGGCCCTGCTGGGAGGGAATGTCCGTATGATGCTTTCTGGAGGAGCACCGCTCTCACCTCAAACACAAAGATTCATGAACATCTGTTTTTGCTGTCCTGTTGGTCAAGGCTATGGACTGACAGAAACGTGTGGAGCCGGAACCATTACAGAAGGTAGTTAAAACACCTGTGGAAATATGTAAGTTAAGGAATAGAAATGTATGGACGTTTGATGGTTTTAATTTTTTTTTAAATAAGTCAAAATACAGCTACAATACTATACCTGTAGTTCTGAAGTAAAGTAACTTGAGATAAGATACACCCTATTCGTATTTCAAATAACAAAAAATCTTGCTTTTCTTTCTTGTTCTGTCCCTAAGTTGCTGATTACAGCACTGGCAGAGTTGGAGCTCCTCTTATTTGTTGTGAAATAAAACTGAGAGACTGGCAAGAAGGTGAGAGTAGTAATTGTTCTGATTTCAGAATAATTAATTTAGCCCCTGCTTAGCTGGTATCTTTGCCTATCTGCTTAGCTAGGTGCAGCATATGAAGTAATTGTTCTTTATCTTTGATAATAGTCATCAGTTAGTGTGCTTTAACTTCAAGCTGAAGTTTCAAAGTATTTTCTTGGCAGAAAGATACATATAAGTTAAAAATAATTGCTTGGGATTGTTGTTTTCAGGGGGCTATACTAATAAAGACAAGCCTAATCCTAGAGGAGAAATTATAATTGGTGGACCAAATGTCTCCATGGGATATTTTAAAAATGAAGAGAAGACAACAGAAGAGTTTTATGTTGATGAGAATGGCCAGAGATGGTTCTGTACAGGAGATATTGGGGAATTTCATCCAGATGGGTGTCTGCAGATCATAGGTGGGCCTCAGCTTTTGATACCTTAATATATTACAAGATATTGACTGACTAATTATTATAAACATGTTATTAATACTGTTGGCTTTGCCTGGGCTAATCTACTTAAAGTTACCTATTTACAGAATAGGTGTAAAATACATTTCCAAAAGTCCTCATAGCTGTAGTAAAATTTTGGAAGTGATGCCATTTCCTGTGACATTATCATCATCTAAATTTAGCACATGGACTTTAAAGAATAAATACAAGATTAATTTTTGTATTAATTACAAAGCTTTAAAATCAGAATATTTTTCTACAAGCTATGTGACAAAAAGTGTAGCAGCTATTAGCTGCTTTTAAATTTGTCTGTTAAGATCTGGTATAGCACAAAATACATATGTGGTATGTAATGGTATGGTATGGAAATGAGTTTTTGGAAAAATGGTGAAGTTTAAATGAAACGAGGCTTTTGGGTTTGTTTTTTTTTTGTTTTGTTTTCCCTGACTCCTAGATCGTAAGAAGGACTTGGTAAAGCTCCAAGCAGGAGAATATGTATCTCTGGGCAAAGTAGAGGCAGCACTGAAGAACTGCCCATTGATTGACAATATCTGTGCTTATGCCAAAAGGTAAGAGTGGTATTAATTTAGAAACTCTGTTTAGAGTAAACATGAAGTACAGGCTATGATCCACATCTCTGATCCAACTATAGTTTTTCATGGTTTCCTTCTAATAACCCCCTCCATTAGAGTACAAGTTAGAAACACCATGTCTGAAGAAGCCCAGGTTCCCAGATTCCCTAAAAGCTGAAGAAATTGCCTATTTTTCTGTTGGCATTTCTCCTATCCCGATACACTTCTGTTCCATTTCATCCCTTTTCACTAAACTACATATATCATTATATGTTGTTATATTTAGCATGTGTTTTGGCTAGAATATCAGTGAAAAGTTAATCTGGACACTTTGCACCCGATTCAAAGCTTTCCAATGAGTTTGGGAAATAGTCCCAATATCTTCCCCTCTCTCCCTATGTGAGGGGGAACTGAGGAGAAGTAATTAAACCCCAGGTCTAGCTGGGGAGCTAAATGGAGATGTGCATGAGTGAAATGACAGCAAAGGCTCATTCTGATCAAACCTGATGATGTAAACCAGCTTAGAATATCTTCTTGATAAGCCATCAGATGTGAAGACTTAATGCTCAAGAAGGATTCTGTATGGTGGAATAACTCCAGTTCAGAAAGCCCTGGGCATTTGTGGGTCCAACAGCTGGTAGTTTACAACCTGAAATGAAAGTCTTGACTGGACCTTTTTTCCTTCCTTCTCTTGCCACTCTGTGTAGTGATCAGTCCTATGTGATCAGTTTTGTGGTCCCTAACCAGAAGAAGCTGACAGCATTGGCTGAGCAGAAAGGCATCAGTGGAACCTGGGTGGACATTTGTAACCATCCTACAATGGAAGCAGAAATACTGCAAGAGATTAAAGAAGTGGCAAACAAGAGTAAGTACCACAGCACATCCTGCTGGCCATGGAGGCTTATCCAGCAAAAACTGTCATTATCTTCACTGAATGCTCCTCCTTCTTCCAGTTTCTCTGTATCTCACAAAACTTAATAGTTTATCAAGGCAAAGACCGTGTGAAATTGTTGCATATTATTATTACATAATACTGGTTGTATTGATTACTATGCTTCTTATCTCCAGAGTTTAGTTGAAAAAAAACCTTCAGATATTTTGTAAAAAATACAAATTGCTTGTCTAATATGGTTAAAATAAGGTCCAAAAGAGCTGTCAGTTGGAAGAAAAGTTGCAAGGCATTTGCTGTCAAGGAAACTAGTTAAGCAAGATATTTCAAAGCATTTTTTCCCCAATATAATTTTGTTCCCTACTGCTTTGAACAGCCATGATCCTTGTGGTTGTAGAGGCTTAAAAGCCTGCTATTCTTTGCTGTGGTACTGAATGATCAAAAGTGTCCATCAGCCCTTTATGGGACAAAAAAATGAATAAACTCAGTGTGGAAGAGTCTAAAGCACTTGGCACCTCATACAAGGAAGCAGTAAAAGCTGCACTTAAGCACATGCTAAGCACTTTCTCTTGAACATAGAGGAGAATCTACCTTTTGAAAATGAGAAAACAAGGATGAAAGGCACTATTAAGGCTTACCTTGAAAAAATAAATCAATCCATATGTTTAAGGCTTAGGTTTAAACACTTTAATCCATGGGGGTTTTTATTGTGAATTAGGCAAATTACTATCCATATAGCTTTGTGTACTTAAATCCTTTGCTTATGTATTCTTTCTGATTTCCAGATAGTGATCTACTCTTGAGATACAGCTAATTTATGTGAAACTTTTTTCAAAACTGTTTTAAAGTGGTAATTCTTGTTCTTAGCAGAGCATGATGCACCTTCATCATGAGCAGGCATGCATCTGAGTGAGAGGCATCAGCACATCCTGATAGCAGCTGAAGTTAGAAAGGCAGAGGAGCTGCTGGGTCCCACTTCTGCTGCCCCCAGAGGCTGTGCTGGAATTCAGCTACAAGGCCATGTCTGTGGAGCCCATTCCCAGCCTACATGCAGGAGCTGGTAGTAAACCATGCAGTACTGGGCACATGCAGTAGCTCCCTGTGCTGTTCCTGCTGCTCCTGCCCTTACCCCTGAAGCAGTTCCCTTTCTGCTCCCTTGCTCCCCCCTCTTAGGCTATTACCTGTGCAAGAGAGAAGCAGCCTTGGCTGCAATGAGGCTGTGCATGTGCCAAGCCACTGATTCCAGCTGAAGGGAAAATAAGTGGCTAATGTAAAAAAAATACAAAGTAGTCCCTTAGTTTTGAACTCTAATCAGACTTTTAGAAATAAAAAAATAGGAAAGAAACATTCAACCAGGGAAAGTGTACAAGTACTTCATTATAATTTAAATATGATGCATGTCCAGCTAGTCCAAGTTAACCTAGTTATTCCATTCCTTTAACAAAGATACAACTGTAGATTTCAGTGTATTCTCTTGTGGCAGTAGTCTCAGAGCTTCAGGCTACTCAGTCATTTGTTTCAAGCTTTAGATTTTGCCTTGTCATATCCAATACAACCTCTAAACACAGAGTGTTATTAAAGTATTTGCACACTAACTAGCAGTCAATGATGGGACAGGAAGAAATTTGCCTGTGGCCCTTCTGTAAGGTTATTTCATTAAGTAGGACAGTATATTATACAAGCTACAGGGTGCTGACCAGATTTTTAGGGAACTTGAATTAGTATTTCATTTGGCTTTGTAATCACAGTCATGCTTTTCTTTGTTCTTGTCTCTGCAGTGAAATTAGAAAGATTTGAAATACCCATCAAGGTCCGGTTAAGCCCTGAACCGTGGACCCCCGAGACTGGGTTAGTAACAGATGCTTTCAAGCTGAAAAGGAAAGAACTGAAAAATCATTACCTCAACGACATTGAAAGAATGTATGGAGGCAAATAAACAGCTCTGCTGATCTGGCACTTGTGCAGCTGGTTCCTTCTCATGCCTCAGTTTTGGATGTCTGTGTATACTGTAGATATCACACATTTCAAAAAAATACACCAAATGGATGACTGTTTCTATAATTGCTATAAAGCAAAAAAGATAATATCTTAGACTCCAAATTCTTAATTATTAGCAGATTAGACATTAGTCTTCACAGAGTTTTGTGTGATCATCTCCAGTTTTGAGACAGACATCATGATGTGAAGCAGTGTGACCAGGTGTTTTTATTGTTTCTCTAGCATATTCAGACTGCTTATAACTTCTCTTTAACTCATGCTGAAGTCTGGCCTATATTTCAAAGAAGAAAAAATAATGTAATTGTGATGATTCTTCTGTCATAATAGGACACTTGTAATAGGATACTTCCTTCTAGCAAGGAGGGAAAAGGAGTATCTAATGTCTACCCTTCTCCATTTAAAAACAAAACCAAGACAACAGCAGTAGTCAAGAACTTGCTAGAGATCACTAGAAACACACTGCTTGAGAATGGATTCCTCTGCACATCAGTATCTTGAATATTTACAGTGCCTACAAAATAATAGAAAGTACACTTATTGAAACAAAGGTGAACTGAAAAGCTTTCTACAAACAAGTCATAAGAAATTTCACTCGAGAGCATTGAATTAACTATTTCAACTTCCAACTCACCAAATAGCTTTCCACTGAACACAGAGTGTAAAAGAAAACAAAGACTTGCACTGTTCCGGGGGTGCTGATGAGAAATCAGTGCCTGAATGCAGAACTTGCATCTGGACTGGCAAACAGCTGTGAAAATGATGAGCAGTGGTCTCTAAACAGATGTGAAACTCGGAGTTTTGGTGGGTTTTTTTGAGGGGTTATTGATGTTTTTAAGGCACTGATTCTCTAGACAAGAGTACTGGTACAGGTTACCTGGACATAAGCTAGAGGATCAGGTTTTAAATGTCTGCATTCCTTTATGGAAGGTATTTCTGTTCACCTTTTAACTGTGGTAAGCATGACAAGACAACCAGAAACCAACAGGAGTTTCCCCTGTCTAGTTTTGTTTTACTTACAGAAAAGTAGTCTGTGGCCAAGGAATCTTTGTTTCCTGGAAACTTGTAAAAAGGGACAAATCACTCTTTCCAGAAATTCATTACAAAAATGTTATCTTATTAACTGGAAGTCATAGATGTGAAGGAGGATGATATAATTTAATAATAGTTCATAATTTTGTGTGCTGAATCCTATACTGTGTCTTTTGAATTGTAACTGAGCTTCTGCATCCCTGCCAGCTCTTCACATTTGAACCATAAGTGCTGTAAAAAGTGGAGGCTCTTGATACTGTTCTACTTTGCACTTTCTTAATCGTTTTATATATGTTGCTTACATTTTGTACAGCTGTGGCCCTCGACTGCTCTATATTGCAAATTCATTTGAAAGTATTTATAGCTTTCTATTCATAATATTTGTGTTGTGTATATTATGGTTAAAAAATTATTTCATATTGTCATTGTACAGAAAGTAAAAGATTTTGTACATTGCTTCTCTTGAACACACAAGCTTGCAATTTCAGGACAAGTTTTTCCTTTTCTGCATGTATATGTATTTTTATTTTCCAGTTAAAATAGACTTTGGCAAAAATAAATGATGGCTCTACAATCTTCAAGTAAACCATCCATTCTCCTGGGACCAACTTCAAACTTCACCATGCATAATTTTCTCTGGCTAGTCCAGAACACTGCCAGCTCACATTCCAAAAACCCCAAGGGGAAATGGGGAAAGAAAATCTGGTATATAAAGGTGACAGTATCCAGTTGTGCATGGGACTACAAGAGTCATTAAAAGAAACAAGAAAATAGCTTTTCTAAAAAAAAAAAAATTTTTTTTAGATACAGACAGTTGTTTTTTGACAACAGGGAATACTTCCTGTATCAGTAGCAACTTTTAAAATTACTTGGTCCTAGAGACATGGTACCAAGTTTTCCATGTTTTAGAACTGGTCTCTATTAAATAGCCTTTAGTCAGCCTGTAAGTACCACAAAAGTGAAATACATGTAAGAAAGTACTTACACTTTGAGTCTGTCAGCAGGTTATGAGACTTTTTTTTTTAAGCCATGAATGTATTTATATGAAATGCATTTTATTTTCTGTGTCTTGGTTGACTGAGGATCGCTATTTTCAAAGTATGTATACACAAATACATAATGTTAACATTTCAAAAGTGGAATACAACTTAAATGATTCAACAAGTTTGTGTTTCAGAATATCTTCATATTACACAGGTGCTCTTGTTCCTGTTCTGTGCCTCACATTCTGTCTAAAACTGAGCCTACCTTACAAAGACCGCTCAAAAACAGCAGCAATGAGTCCATACTTCAGGTAATAAAAACCAAGCCTCCAAGCAGGTCTGATTTTTCTTGTAAGGAATGAACTAGAGGTGGATGTACTGCAAAAGACAATTTGCTACATCATCAGCTTTTCAAGCACATTTGGAGAAAGGGAAGGATTGCATCAGACTGCCTTCAAGTACGGGGATTGTTTGCAAATACCTTGCAGTTGGACAAGAACTTTATCCTTCATTTTAATGAATTCTAAATCCTTTTTGTGACAGCTTGTGGAGGAGGAACAGAATGAGCAAGAATGTTTAATTCTTGCTATTAAAAAGAAGGAACTAGGATGCAGATGAAGAGATAGTAAATCACTTCAAAATCATTGTGATAGTTACAGATGTTACAGGTGCTGTTTATCTTCTGCTGGGCTGAAAGGACATACACCATGGGACTGAAGTGTGTCAGAAAGGTTCATGTACTGCTGAGGGTTCTGGAATGCTGGAAGTTCTTCAGAAAGCAGGTTAAGAATTTTAAGTCATCCTTCTAAGACTGAGGAAACGAGGTCAAAGAGAAACAAAATTCAGTTTGGGCATATCTTGTCTAAGATTATATTTAGGCCCTCTACCTGAAAATACACTGTCTGTCTAGATGTGTAAAGCCAGAGTGTAACTACCACAACAGCGGGTGTAGAAAGCTTTAGCAGTGAAGGAAGATTAGAGTTGTCTAGCTGGCCTGAGGAGGGATTGGCACATGCCACTAGATGATTAACCTGCAACTCCATGTACAGTTACTCTGATGAAAGCACACAGAGCTGCCCTCAGGGAAAGAGGAAGAACAGAGTATAAGTTTGCACAAAGTGAAATGGATGATTTAGTGTTTTAAAAAAACCACAGGATTTTAAACTAATTCCTTACTAAATACTGAACTAGTTGCCCAAGATCTTTCCCACTGAAAGTCTGCAGAGCCTCAGTGCCAATGAAAGCTCAACAAAGCCTTTGAGGAACAGCCTTGGCACAGACCTGTGGGTGGGGCTGGCAGGGACAGGTCCTGCATCTGACACAACAGGAACCGTGCCTGTAATAGGCACAGACATCATTAAGTGGCTTGAAAAGTAAAAAAAGAGCCTAAACATGGAGAGGAAGGAGTTACTCCCTTAGGAGCAGGTGAGTTGGTGTTTAACCACCTCATGCCATCACAGTGCCCCTGATAGCCGCTCAGAACATAACCTGCAGGGTGCTTCCTACCAGCTCCCCCAGCACAAACTGCAATTCCTAGCACAGTGGTAGGCTATAAAAGGAACAGAACACCAGTTCAGAATGTGGGTCACTCATTTTCACTAGCTAAAAAAAAAAGACCGTATCTACCACATCTCAGAACAATAGCTTCAAATAACTATGTTGTATTCTAACAATAAATGTTGTTTTGCGATTACATGCAAAACAAGAAATAAATTCTAATTATGTATTTGGTTGTGGTGTGTTGGGGGTTTTGTTTGTTCATACCTTGGCTTTTTTTGGTTAATTTTGTTTCTGGTGGGGTTTCTTTTCAGTCATACTGAGCCTACCCAATGGCTAAGCTCTATTTACGTGACAGTAAAGCAATTTCCTTTTTGAAGGCTAAAATTTACACACTCAAAGCTTAGAAATAATAAATCTAGTGCGTTTTTTGCATAAGATGGTACCTAGATAATCTACAAAATGCAGTCAGCCAAACTTGCAGTCACTGGTTACATGCAGAGTAAAATTGTGTGTGAACTTACCTGGATTATTAAAACACCTTTCCAGTTAACTCAGTGCTCTGCAAAGTGGATTAGTGATTGCTTTATGATAGGAGTACATCAGCCATGGAGGATCAGAGCTGACTATATTAAATATACATTTGTACTTAGCCTGTCATTTTCACATAATTTAATGTGAATGAGCTCTGACTGAAACGAGGTAATGTTTGCACTATTGCTTTGCTACTGGGTGCTGTAATAGATTGGATCTTGCTACAGCTTTACTGGGGAGAGACATGTTTTGAAGAACATTAAACCCATTCTAGATTGATAAAGTGTTCTAATGAAGCTGAATATCACAGATAATTTATCCAAAGTTGGTTTTGGCTGGAAGCATGTAGCCTTGACATTAGAGCAGTGGTAATTTAGACAGAGCTCTGGCCACAGTGATCCTCACAGACTTGACTTGCACTTTTAAAGCAAAAAATAACTAAAGCACCAAAAGAAAAAATGAAACCAAAAACACACCACAAACTGCTGAGCTTTCTCCTTGTTCTTCCATTTTGAAACACCAGTAACCTGGTTAATGATGAACGCTACTGGAGATGTCAGAGGTCACTACATGTTTATCACGCCTGCTTTCTGCATTTACTCTCACGTCTCCAAATACAGAAGTTTGCCCACCACCTCTATGTTATCTCTTATTTCTGAGCATCCAGACCCTGGGCAGGGATGCCCATCACTCCAAGACATGACCTCCTATCAATCTAAATGCTAAAACAAGAAGGTGTCGTATAAGTTTTACTTTTTTAAAACACAGAAAAGACTTCAATCTGAAGCAGTTCTGGACTACTTCTAATAGGTCAATTGAAATTATGACCTCAGTTCACATGTTGTTCCAGCCCTGGGAGTTGTTTCTAGGATTTTTAATTGTTTTTAAACAACAAACCTAAGCTTTTCCTACCAGATATAAATCAGCCTATATCATGCTCCCCCAGGGAGTGAACATAAAGAATGGATCACTGTTCTCTATAGTTGCCTGCCCTACTTTACTTTCTGCCTTTTGGGTCAAAGCAAACCAAATCTCTCCCAGTGAGCCCATTCCTATGGCATTTAATCAGGGTCATTAAACCAGGCCCCTCTGCTCCCATGTTCAAGACAAAACACCTGCCTCACCCCCCGACACAGCTTACGAAAATTACTTCCCAAAGCCTTTACCTTCACCCCAGAACATATCTGCTGCTTAGGCAATGGGTGAACTATCACCTTGGGACTTTTTTTTTGTTCCTTGTTATTTTTAAAATCTGGATCTCAGCTCAAACATTTGAAGTACCACAAGAACTGTATTGCTGTGAGGAGGGGAAATGCACAGGTGATGACTGACTTTTTCAGGAGCTCTGCAAACAAACGCTACACCTCAACCCAAGCTGAATTTCTAACAAGTCAGTCTGGATCAGTTT